CCCCAAATGCTTCCCTGCAGCTCCCATGCCGTTTGCCAGCCCCGGCATTGTCCTTTTATGGTGGTTCAAGCCTGCCGTTTGCCAGCCCGCAAAACTCTCAAATGCTTCCCTGCAGCTCCCATGCCGTTTGCCAGCCCCGGCATTGTCCTTTTATGGTGGTTCAAGCCTGCCGTTTGCCAGCCCGCAAAACCCCCCAAATGTTTCCCTGCAGCTCCCATGCCGTTTGCCAGCCCCGGCATTGTCTTTTTATGGTGGTTCAAGCCTGCCGTTTGCCAGCCCGCAAAACCCCCCAAATGCTTCCCTGCAGCTCCCAATGCCGTTTGCCAGCCCCGGCATTGTCCTTTTATGGTGGTTCAAGCCTGCCGTTTGCCAGCTTGCAAAACCCCCCAAATGTTTCCCTGCAGCTCCCATGCCGTTTGCCAGCCCCGGCATTGTCTTTTTATGGTGGTTCAAGCCTGCCGTTTGCCAGCCCGCAAAACCCCCCAAATGCTTCCCTGCAGCTCCCATGCCGTTTGCCAGCCCCGGCTTTGTCCTTTTATGGTGGTTCAAGCCTAAACCCCCCAAATGCTTCCCTGCAGCTCCCATGCCGTTTGCCAGCCCCGGCATTGTCCTTTTATGGTGGTTCAAGCCTGCCGTTTGCCAGCCCGCAAAACCCGCCAGCCCCGGCATTGTCCTTTTATGGTGGTTCAAGCCTGCTGTTTGCCCGCCCGCAAAACCCCCCAAATGCTTCCCTGCAGCTCCCATGCCGTTTGCCAGCCCCGGCATTGTCCTTTTATGGTGGTTCAAGCCTGCCGTTTGCCAGCCCGCAAAACCCCCCAAATGCTTCCCTGCAGCTCCCATGCCGTTTGCCAGCCCCGGCATTGTCCTTTTCTGGTGGTTCAAGCCTGCCGTTTGCCAGCTTGCAAAACCCCAAATGTTTCCCTGCAGCTCCCATGCCGTTTGCCAGCCCCGGCATTGTCTTTTTATGGTGGTTCAAGCCTGCCGTTTGCCAGCCCGCAAAATTCCCCAAATTCTTCCCTGCAGCTCCCATGCTGACGAGGGACGGTCAAAAAAGAACTCACCGTTTTTGGTGCTTAGCTTCCACACTTTGCTGGGTCGTGGTATTGAGACGGAGTTGCATGGGCCAAATCCGAGGAAACGAAAGCATGTCAAGATGCTGTGCAATTTTGTTGGTCACAGCTATACCAACAGGTATTTGCTTTCAGCTTTGCCAAAAGAGGACTACACCAACAAGAACAGCTTTGTTTTTGAAATCCTCATGAAGACCCTTGTTGCTGAGCTCACCCATCTCGCGGAAACTGGGGTTTCCCATGATGGTTCCCAGTACCATGTCTACTGTGTTGGGATGGCTGGTGACTGGCCATGGCTGGTGAAGTCAGGTAGCCTCCAAAGGAGCTTTTGGAATGTGGCTAAGCACCCTGGCCAAGCAAACCGTGTAGAGGGAAAAGGTATTTGCCATCTTTGTATGGCTGGCCGAAGAGCATTCCCGTACGAGGAGCTGGGCACTCGGAAACCGGCATGGTTGGCTTCAGTTCTGACACAGCCACCTTTCGATGAAGCAAACCATCCATTCCATTGCCATGTGGTGCCGCATGTGGCAGGTCAGCTGCCAACTTTGTGGAAGTTTGACCTATTCCACACTGTTCATTTAGGAATTGGGAAAAATTACCTTGGAAGCATGCTGGCTCTTTTGTCTCAGCAGGAAGCTGGGGGCACTGTCGATACACGATTCGAACTCCTCTCTGCCAAATCTCGTTCTTGGTGTTCTTCGAACCACCGCCTTCCACACTGCAAAAGAATCACAAAAGAGCATGTGAACTGGGTGTCGACGACTTGCTACCCGACAGGCAGCTGGCACAAGGGCGACTTGACAACAAGTCTACTGCTTTTTTGTGAGGCAATGTATTAGAGAGAAGCCTGGGAAGATGAGAAACTTCGTCTGGCTGGACAAGCTGCAGAAGCATTGAATAGTACTCTACCATGCCGAAGCTTGGTTGTCCAAAGATGAATGTTTTGAGGCTGCACAGCTGGGATTGCGGTTTTTGAGGCGGTATTCATGCTTGGCTAAGTTGGCCTACTCTCAGGGCCAAAAGCTCTGGTTAGTCATGCCAAAGGCACACTGCTTTCACCACATATGTTTGGAATTGCTAGAGCAAAGCAAGGTTGGAGTTTGCATAAATCCGCTGTGCTTTTCAGTACAGCAAGATGAAGACTTCATCGGCCGTGCCGCACGGCTGTCGCGACATGTTAGCAGTGTTCACTGTTCTGAGAGAACGGTTGACCGCTATTTGATGGCATCATATTTCAAATTCGTTGAAAGTGGTTACTTGGTAGTGGCTAAGGGATGATGAAAATCAACAAATAGAAATATACTACAATATACTTAGGCAACCGCCACCGCACTTTGGTTTCTTTTATTCAAATTTGGGATCAACAGATCAACACTTAAAACACCTGCGCCCAAGCTTCAGTCCGCTTAGCGCCAAGCCACTTCAGACAAAGTTCGCTGCATTCTTGGGGACCAAAATGACTTGAGGCGTGAGTCGGCTAGGACGGGATACATGGTGGTTTTTACAAACCCTGATTTTGTTGTGCAAACCCTGTGTTTCAAGTCACACCTGGCTTTTTTTGCGTGTATGGTAGGTGAAGGTATATATATATATGTGGGATCATGTGCTACATCATACTCCCCAGGTTGATTGCCAGTACCCCCCCTCCAATTAGGGGGGTCGGCGGCACCTGGGCGCTAGCCCATTCTATAATACCGTAAAATATTGTTTGCGTGCGCTGATCATCCCAAAAACATGGCCAAAAATCAGTCGGGAGTTCATATTTTGCCAACATTTCTCAATGCCTCCAAAAAAGTCGCCCTCTGGCAAGCAATCCGAACCCCCTTGCCGTCCTTCGTTTTTTCTGCGGAGAACCACTGAGATCCAGCCCCTTCCTTCTCGGGCTCTTGGCCTGCCAACAACATGTCACACATTCCATGCCACCTAGACCCTTCCCGGCATACCAAATCAAGACATCTTACATAACAACCCTCTCTTTTCTCGATTCCCCCGCCTTCTCCTGGCCTGCGATTCTGACCGTCACCCTCGACGTGCCGCTCAGCATCGCCACGAACCCGTAGCCGTTGAGGAACCGATACATCCACACGACTTTGGTCAATCACTTGCTCATCCTTTTCTTCATCTGACAATGACATCACCTCCTCCACTTCTCCCATCACAACGCACAGTCCAGTGCAGAATTTGCAATCGGCTCCCGGCAAAAGGCGACGGGCAAATGGCGGGGGAAGTCAAAGCTAAAACCAAATCACGGAAAATGAGGCCACCGGTGACTTCGTGAAGTCTCTTGAGCAAACCCCACCACCTCTGATCCGCTAGTGGATTGCTTCGAGAGGACTGGCACCAATCACTTCACATGCTCAAGGACTCCCTCATGCTGAATTTCACTTCACCATGGCCCCCTACTTATCAGTTGATTGTGACCCCGGCGGGCCCAGCGGCATCTGGCGACAAAGCCACTGAGAAAGTGGGCCAAATTAGAGCCATACCTTGGTGCCGCGTAGCAAAAAAACACTTTGGCTCTAAACTATGGTAGTCCCCAAGAGTTGGCCACACATAGATAGATAGATAGATAGATAGATAGATAGATAGATAGATAGATAGATAGATAGATAGATAGATAGATAGATAGATAGATAGATAGATAGATAGATAGATAGATAGATAGATAGATAGATTAGATAGATAGATAGATAGATAGATAGATAGATAGATAGATTAGATAGATAGATAGATAGATAGATAGATAGATTAGATAGATAGATATAGATAGATAGATATAGATAGATTAGATAGATAGATAGATAGATAGATTAGATAGATAGATTAGATAGATAGATTAGATAGATAGATTAGATAGATAGATTAGATAGATAGATTAGATAGATAGATTAGATAGATAGATAGATAGATAGATAGATAGATAGATACATAGATAGATAGATAGATAGATAGATAGGTAGATAGATAGATAGATACATAGATAGATAGATTGATAGATAGATAGATAGGTAGATAGATAGATAGATAGATCAGGAAGCATCCAAAAAAGGATCTCGCGGTCAAATTCACTGCCAAACCATAGGAAGTAGGCATGCCAGGAAACGGTCCACAGGTTCGCGAACAGTAAACCCCATTGCGAATTCCAAGAATCTATATATTCTTCAAATACTACCTACTACGATTGTATCGCAAAAAAGGTTGGAAATCGCCAGCCGCCAGCAATCTGTCCGAAGGCCAGAATGCGAACATAGTAGAGAGCCAACACCAGAAGCCAGAGGATAATAATCATGACCAACAACTGAATTTGGAAGCAAAAAGCTCGTCATATACATTGTTTTCTCTCAATAGTTGGGATTTTTAATCTGTGTATACTGTGTATATATATATATGTATCCATCTATCTATCTATCTATCCATCTATCTATCTATCTATCTATCTGTCTGTCTGTCTGTCTGTCTGTCTGTCTGTCTATCTAATCTATCTATCTATCTATCTATCTATCTGTCTGTCTGTCTGTCTGTCTATCTATATCTATATAGATCGCACATTGGAGAACTGCAGCAAACCAACTATAATTAATATCGTGGGAAATAAATAACATACTACCACATTTGATGAATCCTGCGAGGATGATACAATTTAAGAACACCCACAACATTGTTACAAAAAAAACATCGGCCACAAGGGATACCACTGCCAGAGAATAAATTGAACTCGTCAACGGCAACGGCCTCAGTGCCATATCACTAAAATATAATTTCTCTGCCCATGACCTCCCCCTCTTAAACTGGATTATGGTGTCAGCTATAACATCGTAATTCCTGAAAATGGTCGAACCTCTCAAAACCTGTTGCTTCAAAACCTACAAACATCACTCACTCACTGCAAAACACCCCGCCGCCACCTCCACACATCTGCCGCCCGAGCCATCAGGCGCACCGCCGCCGCTTCACCGACTCCTGAGCCACTGACGCATTGCCCCCACGAACCCTGATCCACTTACCATCAACAGCCCCTGCAGGTTCTTGCGACCCAGGATCACACATCTCCTGAACATCAGCACGCAGCGTTGGTTTTTCCGTTGCCACCCACACCGATCTTGATAGCAGAGCGAAATTCCTTGGCATGTTCACACTCGCCGCCTTAACAAAAGCAGCTCCCACACACCAACTCTATAACCCTTTCTTGAGCCTTTTCCACATTTCTGCTCTCTTTCCAACACTACCATGCCCCCTGCAGGTTTGCTGTCAAGCGTCTCTACTATAATAGTACACTCATCAACTTACAGGCACTGATGGGGATTATTCCTGTCTCTCGCGCCTCCTTCACGAGGTCTTCAGTTGAAGGGATCTTTTGGAGCTCCACGATCGTCTCCTCCAGGAAGGTCTTCGCCGTGGCCCCTATCATGCGTCCAAACTTCTTCGAATTCGTCGAGTTCCTGACGCAAGCCCGCTAAACACTTTCTGCTCTTACGACCCTTTTCCGCAATACTCTGCTGTTCCATCACCGGTCACACCTTGCCAAACCCCTGCACTTCCCCGCCACGAGCGATGAAATTCTCTTCTGGCTTCAACACGCTTTACGATCCACCAGCTTTTGGCATCGCGACCCTACCCCACTGCAGACGCCAAGTTGCCAAGCAACACTCTGCGTTGTCTCTGCCCCGCGCAGCAAGCCCAGCTGCTTCAAGGTGTCTTCGAAGCGCGGACGCATGAGCAATTTGCCCGGGTTCTGGAACTCATCCAACCTCAGCAGATGCTGCTTTCTCGCTCTGATTACTATCGAGAACACCTCTCCCTACTGCAGCTTCACTCTTGCCCGGGCTCACCTCTGACTAAACTTTATGCTGCCGACGCTGCTTCTGTAATGTTTCGAACAACACAATGATGATACTTCAAGTTTCTCCGCCGACTGGTCACGTTGTCGACACTACATACTGCCAACATGTCTTTGCATCGAAAATTCTCACATGCCTCCATAACATCAGCCCAGGTACCAAGCTGCGTCCACTTGCCATGCTGATCAGGTGCCAGTGATGTACTCCCTTCTTCCTCTGATTCCCTCCACGCACCTCCCGTGCCCTTGTTGTCTTCCCAGGCAGATATGCGGCTCGCCACGCGCCACCTGTCTCCTCGTAGAACTTCACCAGCGCACCTATCATCCCAACTTGCATTCGATGCTTTCCACGAGCAAACTTCACCAGGTACAGCGCAAACCTCGCTTCCAAATTCCCACTCTGACGGTACAAGACATCACCACAAAGCCACAACCTTTCACACCCTGCTCCTCAAGATACTTCTGGCCTGCATACTTTCGTATTTTCTAACACTTCTGACAATGAAGACCCAAACCATCTGCTGCCAGAGAATACCGTCCAACTATGACTTTCACAACTACTTCCATCTGCCCACTTTCTCCCCTTGAACTGCCAAGGCACTCGAAATGCCTGAAGTACACCGCAAACATCGTCAGTCCCAACTGCACGTGCATTTCCAGATGATTGAATCCTCCACGGAGACACGTCTGCAGGCAATGAGTTATTCGATCTTCACCTTGCGTGCACCCGCGGTCCCACTTCACCTCTTCCATGATTCCAAACTCAATTGCTGATGCTTTATGACGATGATGATGTTTTCAATGCTCATTTCAATGCTGATTTCAATGATGATGGTGATGCCGCGAACGCTACTTTTGCCAACTCTCATGTCTGGAACACTTTTTCTAATTTTTCCGGCCAAATGCCGTGCTCTATCCTCTGCGATGACCTACTTTCTTCAAGATTTCCATGTTCGAGACCAGACCCACGCCCACCCCACTAATTCCGACTTCCCCGATAGCCAAAGGCACTCGGTGCTTTCCCCACAGCATGGGCATACGTGCCACGCAACGAGTGGATGAACCTGAACTCCTGCCCTGGCACTCCCGTCAACGCCAGCAGTGGCTGCCTCGCCTGTGCCAGACTGTTCATGAACGACCCACGCGGGATCTTCTTTCCTCGTCGGTAGCACAGGTACAAGGCCATCAGTGCCTCATGCCCAAAACGCAGCACGCTGACATGGTTGATCTCTCCGCACACCGACACAACCAGACATCATCCAACACACCTGCACCTTTCTTGCCTTCTCAAACTAGACCATCATGATTTGCAGCAGAAAACTTCTGCAACAATGATGCCATTTCTACCTTCTCACTTGTTCATCCCTTTGCTGTCTACACAGACATCAACACCTCCGAAGCAACTGGGTCATATATATCCGGTTGCAACCCCGCGCTCGCCGCCCCCAGGCAACACTCCCTGGGGTTGGCGCCAGGGGGCGTAGCCCCTTAATAATGATATGATATGATTAGACTAGACGTTTCCATCATATCATGATATATAAGGCCTTATATGGTACAGTACCTCCGTTTTAGGATCCTGGAATTCCCATTGATGATATGATAGATTAGATTAGATAATTATGATAGAACATAGATCATATCTATTATGATATCAATGGGAATAGTATGATATGATATGATTAAATTAGACCTTTCCATCATATCATGATATATAAGGCCTTATATGGTACAGTACCTCCATTTTAGGATCCTGGAATTCCCATTGATGATATGATAGATTAGATTAGATAATTAATTATGATAGAAAATAAATCATATCTATTATGATATCAATGGGAATATTATGATATGATTAGACGTTTCCATCATATCATGATATATAAGGCCTTATATGGTACAGTACCTCCATTTTAGGATCCTGGAATTCCCATTGATGATATGATAGATTAGATTAGATAATTATGATAGAAAATATTTCATATCTATTCTGATATCAATAGGAATATTATGATATGATATGATTAGACGTTTCCATCATATCATGATATATAAGGCCTTATATGGTACAGTACCTCCATTTTAGGATCCTGGAATTCCCATTGATGATATGATAGATTAGATTAGATAATTATGATAGAAAATAGATCATACCTGTTATGATATTAATGGGAATATTATGATATGATATGATTAAATTAGACCTTTCCATCATATCATGATATATAAGGCCTTATATGGTACAGTACCTCCATTTTAGGATCCTGGAATTCCCATTGATGATATGATAGATTAGATTAGATAATTAATTATGATAGAAAATAGATCATATCTATTATGATATCAATGGGAATATTATGATATGATTAGACGTTTCCATCATATCATGATATATAAGGCCTTATATGGTACAGTACCTCCATTTTAGGATCCTGGAATTCCCATTGATGATATGATAGATTAGATAATTATGATAGAAAATATTTCATATCTATCGTGATATCAATGGGAATATTATGATATGATACTAATCTTTGATATGATGATTTGATATCTACATGATATGAATATTATGATATGATATGATATGATTCATGATACTCATCAATGATCTTGAAAAAATGATCTGATAATATATGATATTATATATGATATCTAATCAATGATCTTATCTAATCTAGTCTATCTATCTCAAAGTACCAATTTTAAGAACATCAACCAACAGTGTTTTTCAACACTTCTCTAGCTTTCGACAATGGGGGTGATGTCAGCACGCCTTTCGACATTGTCCCATGGATTTTCCTTTCGTTTTTTTCAGTTGTCCAAGAGGAATTCGAGGCAGTTTCGATTGGAAAATGAGCCAGTCTCAACCATCAGTTTTCAACGTCCTGAATATTATGATAGATAGATTAGGTAATTGATATGATAGTCTTATCTAATATTAAGATATCATAATATTGATAGATTAGATTAGATAATTATGATAGAAAATAGATAATATCTATTATGATATCAATGGGAATATTAGATAAGATACCCAATTCCAAGACCAGCAGCGCATGTTCAGTTTCCGATCGTCACTGTCGAACCCAGAAATCTATGCGATCCGTGGATCATGAACTAAGCAGTCAACCCAGTCATCAACCAACTTGGCTAAGTTATTTGCTCATAAGCCCAACAGTCAAACGAGTCATCAACCAACTTGGCTAAGGTATTTGCTCATGAACCCGACAGTCACCCCAGTCATCAACCACCTTGGCTAAGTTATTTGCTCATAAGCCCAACAGTCAACCAGTCATCAACCAACTTGGCTAAGTTATTTGCTCATAAGCCCCAGTCAACCCAATCATCAACCAACTTGGCTAAGTTATTTGCTCATGAACCCGACAGTCAACCCAGTCATCAACCACCTTGGCTAAGTTATTTGCTCATAAGCCCAACAGTCAACCCAGTCATCAACCAACTTGGCTAAGTTATTTGCTCATAAGCCCAGCAGTCAACCAGTCATCAACCAACTTTGCTCTGGGTTGATAACTGGACTCCCATTCGGGCTGCTGCTAATCCCAAATAAACATAAAGAAACGAGGTCGATTCATAATCCCTTTAATCATCAACAAACCCTTATTTGTGAATGGCACCCACTGAATTATGATGGTTGAACCCTGTACAAACGATCATTCAATCCCCATGTTTGATAACTGATAGCTTATCAACCAGGATGTTTGAGACTATTTAGCCATTGAACCCCATGTTTGATGATGCACCCCCTATAGGCCCTATAGTCATGAAGCTATTGTGCGGTTTCAACAGCTTTTCACCAACCAACTCCCCTCAACTGGTCCCCTCTCCGCCTTGGTTTGTATCAAACTCATCGCCGGGGCAAAGCGCAACGTTACTCGCAGCGTGGGTAGGGAATGGAGCCGCAGGGAGTCCTGCCGGAATCAGCTCCAACAAAAAAATGTGGCCTTACCGTCAAGACTCATATGGTTTGCATATATATATATATATACATGAACCTAATTATACATCTATATAGTAAAATCCACTAATAGGTTGGAAAGTAAAATCTGGCTAAATAGTGACCAATCACATGTCTATCTTTGTGGAACTTACTATATATTATGCATTTAGATTAATTAGAAGATATATGGGAGTATCCCAAAATGGTGCACGTCATCAACAAAAACATATGCATATGTATACTCATACTGGAGTAGATCGAATGTGGAAACTGTGTAAATCAATCTAAATTTGGAGTATGTGAATAGTTTTTGAAAAATCCATATTCTATCTGCTTCAGGATGATTGTGTGCGTGTACTGTATGTATATATATAATTTTATATATAGTTTGATATGTGACAGTTTGGCTCAAAATCAGACCGCCGGAACTTGGGTTCCGTATTGAAAATGACCCCAGGGCCGCCTAGGGCCACTTGTAGCTTTCCACAATTGGAAGATGGCGAAAGGGTGTGTTGAGTATGGTTTCATATGGTTTAATAGGGATAATCATCGGATAATCATGAGATATTAATCTGGTTGGTGGTTTCAATCCCTCTGAAAAATATGAAAGTCAGATTGGATCATCATCCCAGCTATTGGGGAAAATAAAAAATGTTCCAAACCACCAACCAGTAATGAAATTACCCTCTGGTCATCAAACGTGGCTGCTGGATGTTTCGCGAAAAACATCGAACTATTGCCGGTGGCCAGCAGCTCCCTGATATGGGTTGGTATATGGGGATCATCATCCTAGGGATTAACATCAAACATCCTTTAAACCATCAACCAGCTTCATTAGTTGGTATACCCTTGGTTGCTGGTGCTTTCAAATCCCAAGAGTTAAATCTCATCTCACAACTCTTAACTGTAAAAAACAAAGTTTAACCTTTTTGGGCTTTGAAAAACACCATACGCGACATATGCAGCGCCATATGCTACTAATGACATGATCAGTTGTGAACTCGGCATGGCCTCCATGAGCTCTACTTGGTACTTGCTTTTCAAGATGTCAGCCTCGGATCTGGATGGATTCACCAAGAGGCCGCTACAAGTCGGTTATAGGCCCCCGGGCCACGGAGAGCGTGAAAAGTTGGGGTGAACTCATAACTCCAAGTTCACTAATTCTGGTAAAAATGGTACGCTTAAATAACGAACTATAGTTACTGGGGCGAATCTAAACCAACTTTCACATCACTGGGGGGCCTCACTTGTATGAAGAGAGTTGCGTGGATTTTGACCAAAAAGTTGGGATTCAAGCATAACATGGTTTAACCATCCCGAGTTATGGTATGGCGCATATCATGTCGCTTCATGTCACAGTTACAATTTCAGGGACCCAAAATGAATGGATGCACTAAACTTGGGTTTCGCCGTGTTTGACAGCAGGAGTCCCACCAGGGGCTGATCACTGGGTGTCAGCCTTGGTCGGTGCTTAGGATTGGTTAGCATCAAGACGCAATTGCGTATTTCTATGACTGCGTTAGCTTAGGGGTTTCAGCCTACAGGATCGCTACGGTGGTTTTGGGCGGTTCTGAAGGTTCCAGTGTGGGTTCCGGACCTGATAGGTTTTTGCGCCACTGGCAGTGATGAAATCTGCAAGCGGAACTCATCAGGAGCGCTCCTACGTTGTGTCTGTTGCGCTGAATCTTCTTTGACTTCGCTGGGTTCTGGTGTGGGTTCCGGGATGGGTTGAACTTGATAGGTGTTCACAGACTGCTGTCGCATTGTCCTACCACCTTTGCTGGGGAGGGATACCACCTGGGTTTAGCCATTCCGAAGTCGTCGTCAATGATAACTCCTGCCTGAAATTGGTCAGCTGGGGTTGTATTTTGTGATGGACTTGATTAGTCTCGTCATATTAACAAGCAAGAGTCAAAAAAACTTGAGAGGCGACATCTTAACTTCAAAAGATCGCTGTGGGGGGTACAGAAACCCCTTTAATCAATGAGTCAGGATCGACATTTGTCATCTTCAAGACCATGAACTGTTTCCAACCCGTTGGCACAATCGCATCTGTCTCCCATCCACGTTGATGTTTGTGGAATCTGATGTCATGCTTGTCTGGTGGCCATCGTTTATCACCGATGCCGATCTCTTGTGGCATTTCATTCTCAAAAACACCATACTTCTGCCATCACGTCATGTTCGCAAACAAAACAAATTCCCTGGCACCTTCCACAGCCTTCACCACCAAAAAAAAAGCCTCAAATAATTGTTTTTCTTTACCAAAGATAAAGTGGATGGAATTTATGGGGACCCCTAAGAAACCCCAATAGTAGGGGCCCGCTTATGCGAAATGATATACCATCGGTAGGAAAGTCCCTATAAATTTCACGGAAAAAGGCCAAAAACTGTTCAGGGTCTCCACACGGAAGCCTTCAGTAAAGGCGGCAGCCACTTCTCCCGCAGCAAAGTTTCGGGGTTGGCGGCGTGGAGAAAAAAGACCACCTTTTTTGGTGGCGAAAAGTGACTGGTTTACCCAGGTATCATTGCGATAATCATGAAATCCTCATAGGATAATCCGTACATCATTGGTGTGATTTATGTGTATGGTTTAGTGATAAGATCCATAATTATGATGAAACAGTGTGTTTAATATGGTCTTATATGGTTTAATAGTGATAACATTGGGATACTGATTGAATAATAATAACAATCATCATCATCATCATATGATATTAATGGGTTTACCCTTCGGTGATCAAACGTGGCTGGCTGGAAAATCCACAATAAATGGAGGTTTATAGCTGGGGGAATCATCTATGTGTGGGGAGTTTCCCATTGCCATGTTTGATTACTGGATGGTAAATATTGGGAAGATTTGCGAATTTAAGCATAAAAAATGGGATGATGACCAATAATCCAATCAATGGGATGTTGATTAATATACCATAATCTTTTTGGGGTGGTTAATATCCCATTTGTTGATTAATGTCCCATGTTGGTTAATAACCTAACATCTTGGTTATTTTTGTTGGGTTTGTTTTTTTTCCGCCTGTTCTTGAACCCAATCCCCGAGATGCCAGGGGCCCGAATCAATACTCCAATCAATGAATTGATGTACAGTAAGGGACATGTTCACCGGAAACCATGGATGTTACGCCCAAATTGGTTGGGGGTTCCTGTGGTTCTTCCAACATTCTGGTGGAAGATCGGTTTGTGCAATTGGACAAATGTGTTCGTGTTCAATGGAAGTTGGATGAAAACAAACTAATCTGGAAACGGTCTTCTACCACAAAATGCAGGTAGAATTTGGTAATCTGACAGGGTACATATCCAGAAGCACAAAAGCCCGCTATGCCCCATTCAGAAAATGTCGCCATGTCACCAAGGCCCCCGATCAGATTTCGTGCAATCGCGGTGGATCCCAATGCTTGCTGATTAAAGACCCATTGTGGTGCTTGCTGAGATCTAAGTGTGGCGTGTAACACCGATTTGTGTCAAAACCCAAGTCGTGTTGCTTGCAATCCAAACTTCTGGTGGTTGGAACTCCTGTCTAGCTGCTAGTTCGACCGCCATTGAGTGAAAATTCCTTGTCTTCCCTAGTTCCAAGTCGCAATTCCAGTTCGAGATCTAGTCAAACCAGTTAGATCTGATGTGCTTACTGTTCTGAAGTTTAAATCTAGTCAAACATGAGATCCACCTCATTGAAACTAGCAAAAAAAGTGATGATCAAACTTCAATTAGATCTGAATATTAGATCTTACCCGACGAAAAATGAGATTTAGGTGAAAAGAAACGATTTACCCTCTGGTAAATTAACATAGACCCTGGCAGATAGGGGTTGGAAGATTAGTTTCCATTAAGAATTGGTGATTTTCAGGGTCTATGTTTATTTACCAGAGGGTAGATGGGGAAAAATCCCTATTTTCAACTGGAGACTTTCTGTTTCTTCGCCTCTGCATCCGGTCGCTTAAAACCAGCGCTGGTGGCTGTGCCTGGAGCGCCAGATTTTCATCGGAAAAGTTCACATGGTGGTTTTATCACTGTTACCCTCTGGTGAACTAACATAGCAATGGAAAATCACCATTCTTAATGGGAAAATCCACTATAAATAGCCATTTTCCATTGCTATGTTAGTTCACCAGAGGGTAACAGTGATTAATAGTAGTGTTTCATCGTGATTAACAATGATGATTAACAATGATGGTGATTGTTCATAGTGATGAAAATAATGCTTAATGATTCATAATTTTAAATCAGTGTTATCAAATAGTGATTAACAGTGCTTCACAGTGATTAACAGTGATGCTTCATACTGCGTAAAGCTATATATATATATGTATATTAAGATTATTATCATGATTATTACTATTACTATTACTATTATTTTATTATTATTATAAACCAGTCATAGGGCAAAATTGGGGATGGTTCAGTATCATGTTGGGGGTACCATTGCTATAATCATGATCCATATGGAAAATTGGGGGGTACCATCTCTTGGACATTGGCATCTGTTACCATTGTTTTTCCATTGCCATTTAGTACCATTCATGCCATGATTGACTCAACTCTTTAATGAAAACTGGGAATACACGGTAACAACCAATGGTAATAGACAGTCATCAGTAATAAACCGCAACTTTTGCGGGATAAACAACTAGTGATGAAGAAAATTCATTCACTAGGGATACAACCGGCAATTTCTATGTGCCTAAACTGCTACGGTAATGGTAAACCAAATGATCCAATCGTCGGTTGGAATGGTTCAAGCACCCTTGTAACACCAAAAACCCATTGTTTTCCGCATCAGTTTTAGAGGACTTCCATTGAATTCTCCCTGAAACCTATACTGGGATGCAGATTTTTCGGGACAATCTATACATATGTCGTCTTTAGATGTCTTTAGTTATATGTGGATTATTCCCATGAAATTAGATGTCAATCCCGGCTGAAGATGTCAAAAAGTTCATGCCTCAGCTGGTTTTAGGAAGCACACACAAAGTTATATAGTTCTATCTGGGAATTTTCCTCAAGTCCTCTTTTTCTTGTCGCACAAAAATGAATCTATGTCCACCTACGCTTCATGCCATGGTAACTCACCGCGAAGAATTCATTGATCCAGTAATCCCCAGGAAATCCAAAAAGGGACCGTCCCGAGGACCGCGGGAGAGCGGTCCTAAGCACCCATCCTCCACCATGCCACGTGCCACGTGCTGAAAATGTGGTTTTGTCTGAGAGTAACCCCAAATCCAATAACTTTAATATTTCTTTGTCATAGAATTAACACCATGAACAATTGGAAACAAAAAAATTGGAATAAGGCCCCGAAGGTGTGTATAGATACACCCAAATGATGTCAAGTTGGTTGTACATGTATTATATGTATTCCATATCTCGGGGAGTTTAATACCCCTATCATGATCAACAACATATACAATATTATACAATTACTTTTCCATGAAATATCCATTGAATCCCACAGTATCCACCAAAATATATCCATATCTGGGTAAATTATAATATTTCACTAACTTGAATAGTTCGGCCATTTGGCAGGGGATGATTTCCCTTATTCATCATGATTCCAGGGTTCGGGAGAACAGGGTTCGGTCGTTATAATTTACCCAGAAAAATATATCCATATGGGTATGTCTGAAAATGGGGTATACCCCCAATTATAGCCATTTAGTAGGGATAATGATCATTAACCATTGGGTGTAGGGGTACACTATTTTCAGACAAACCCATATGAAATATCTCATGAAGTCTCCATTTCTTGTTCGCAAACTGCCCATCAACTCATGACCCGCCTTTGCCCATTGAGCCACCCTTCACCGCTTGATGGATGTGCAAGGGCAAGATCTGGCGTAACCCGCGAGGAATACTTGGTTTTAACCATGAAAAAATATCATGATGGTTTGATTCTTGGGATTTATGCTTGGTTTTTGATGGTTGAAAATATCATGGGATTTAGAAAAATATAACCAGCTTAGTATAACCATCAGAAATACTTGGCTTTAGCCTGGTGGATTCATAGGATTTATATCATGGGATACAATCTACTTGGGGGGCGTGCATTTTTAGGTGAAAAAAGCCTTATTAACTTCCATGTTTGTTGGGATACCAAACAAATGGACCTTGGTTTCACCTAAAAATGGGTTCACCTTGTTTGATACCTTTACCCTGGTGAACCAAACCTTGTTAACCCCCATGTTTGTTAGGATATGGCGCCCCTGTAACTATGGTGAATGAGATCCACTTATAAGTGGAACTGCATTTCCAAGCAAAGCTCCACTCGGGGCAAAACCTCCCCGAACTCAATCCGGCTGGGAAAATGGCTCAGGTTGTCAGCTGCACAAATCGCTATTTGACAATAAGTGATTGGGAAAAAGGGATAACAATTCACAATGTGACATGTCCTGAGACTTTTCTATGATTTCTCCATGGAAAAGAAGAAAGAAATGTTCACGATGATAGGATTTTTTGGATCTGCTTCAATTGCCATGCCTAATGTTGTCCCATCAGATCCGATCGTTGTTTGATACCATTTCACCCATGACCATTGTGTGAACCCCCCCATACATTAAATATACGTCTATAATATATAGTTACATATATGTATATGATTATACATATAATTGTATATGATCATTATATATGATCATTATATTATTATATATGATCATTATATTATTATATATGATCATTATATATGACCATTATATATATATATGATCATTATTTGTACCATGCCCCACATGTTCCAATGACCAAAATGCTCCACACCCATTATTTTTCATGTTTTGTTCCAATATGTTGATTGACTGGTGGCAATAATCCAGGCAGACTCTGACTAATCAAACCCCCAGCTTGCGTTGCCTAGATGTTTCTTTTTATCGTATTCACTGATTGAAATCGATGCCGTATTTTGACGTTGGCCCGGAAAACTTGATGTGCTGGACCACTAAATTGATGGTTTGCCCAACATCAAGCATCTTGAAACCATTTTCGGTCGCTGCAAATTGTCCAGCTGAAATCAACGGCTATATTAGCCAACACTCAAAAGTTTAACGGAGAGTATGCACCTTTGCAATCCTTTACAAGTATCTTCGCATATATCCAAATCTGAAATACATATCCCGACCAACATTTAGATGGATATAACTCCATTGAAGATCTGCCAATGGATTCGTCTGAAAGTTCTATGGTTGAGAACCTGTGTTTCCCCATGAATTTTGCAACTTCGGTTTCCGTCATGGATGAAGGTGGAGTTGTATAACCCACAAAAATTGGTGATTCAAACGTTGCTCGTGTTGATTTTCCAATTTTTTGGCTTCCCAAAATGCTGCTACCCCCAAATAGATCGTTTATAATGGAAAATCCATGAAAATCGCCCCAGAAAAAATTGATGATTTGGGGGTACTCCCATGACTTAGGAAACCTTAGGTCCGGTGGTGTCCTCCGGTGCCTGCTGAAGGTCTTCCACCAGTTCCACCAAAGCCCGGGAGGCCTGGATTGAACATGATTGAACCGTTCAAATCAGCAGTTGTTCAAGCGATTTTTACACAACAATCCAGAGATATCCAGAGTTTTATAGCTGGTTGGTGGTGGTTTTAACCATCTTGAAAAATGATGGAGTTCGTCAATGGGAAAGATGACATCCCATATATGAAATGGAAAATAAAAAATGTTTGAAACCACGAACCAGATAGACTTAATGTAACTAATGGAACTGTGGAATCCAACTAATTCATGGAACAACTAATGGAACTTTTTTGGACTTAGAAAAAATCAACCACAACTAATGCCACTCATGGAATCCAACTTATTGCCAACAAAAAGGTCTATGTTTTTCACCCAAAATCCAGCGATGGAGATGGATGTGCCGGTTCCTCACCTTGGAATTGAAGGCTCGGCTGCAGATGCTGTTGTGCAGGTCAACATACCTGGCACGGTTTTACCAGAAGTGTTGCCAAGACGTACCCTCTGGTAATTTGTAACATAGCTATTGAAAATGGCCATGTATAGTGGATTTTCCCATTAAAAATGGTGATTTTCCATAGTTATGTTAAATTACCAGAGGGTATGCAGATTGGTCAAAACACTTCCCAGAATGGTGGGGAAGCGGCAATTTTTTTTTAATCACTCCATTGACACGCTGGGTAGGTGAACACTTTGGTATGCGTCAGAAATCGCTATTCTATAAAGTACGATTGTTGAACAGTGTAACGCTGAAAAGAACCCAGGTTTATGAATCTTTGGGTCTCAAGTTTTGCCATCTATGCAAACATGCAACTCTTCTTACACTTGAAATAAGAACCCCAATAGCTTCGCTATCTGGGGAGTCATGAATATCATCATGAGTCTTATCAATCAATTAACCATCAACCAACTAGTTGATTGCAAAACTCACATTTATGTCATCATCAAGCAACTAGCTTGCATCGCTAGTTCATCATAATCACAATTTTATGTGGTGTTTACCCAATGCCATTTCTCCCATCTCGGCTATGTTTTACCCACCAACCGTCCCAGATATCCCCAGTCAAGGTAGGTTTTATGACATTGGATGTACCACATCGCCCTCTGGTAAACTAACATAGCTATGGAAAACAGCCCATTTATAGTATTTATAGATGGTATTCGTATGAAAAATGGTGATTTTCTATAGCTATGTGAAATTACCAGAGGATAATCAATTGTATCAGCATCATCCGAAAGGCTGAAAAACGCCCCCCGCTCGAACTTCCCGCCTTTGGTTCTCCGAGCTCCTACAGATCCATATGACAATGCGCTGACAATGCGCTGGTGAAAAAAATGTGCTGATGGTAGGGGATTCACATCAAAGGCTAGGGAAAAATGGTGACTTACCGAGCAAGAATCTAAGAATGGGGATTGAGAGTTGATCTGATCACTGATAGCTAAGTTGATGAACAATTCACTGTGGGAAAACTGTTGGATTCATAGTTGGACCCTACACACCAACTCCGATCGGGGCACCTCGGCACTTGGCTTGAAAAAACATTCAACATCAAAAAATCCCCATGAAATCAACATGTTTTTCGTAAACGTTGAGTCGTCAATCACTATCAATAGGGCCTGGTTGGTGGTTTCAATCCCTCTGAAAAATATTAGTCAGTTGGGGTTTAACCCAATATATGGAAAAATAAAAAATGTTCCAAACCACCAACCAGGGGCTATGTTTCATGGTTTTATCCCATGATTTCTGATATCCCCCATTGCTATCCCATTGCAATGGCGACATCAAATTGAGGCGCCCCTCTGAGTTGCACACTGATTCACTGCACCTCGAATGCGGCCAAGGGGCCAAGGCCGGCCGGGCAGGACTCTGAAAACTCATGCAGATAGGGTATATAAGATCCAACAACAACAACAACAACAACAACACCAGCAGCAGCAACAACAACAACAACAGCAACAGCAACAGCAACAGCAACAGCAACAGCAACAACAGCAACAGCAACAGCAACAACAGCAACAACAGCAACAGCAACAGCAACAGCAACAACAACAGCAACAACAACAACAACAGCAACAGCAACAACAACAACAGCAACAACAACAACAATAGTAATGTGATTTTTCATGGGAATATCATGGGAATACAACAAAGGATCTATACATAGTATACATCAACATATATATATATAATGGGATCGAGCAACTGAATCCAACCACAACCACAGAGCAGCAGATCATCCCCTGGTAAAATATGGATCATCCCATCCGTTACCGCAAGAATCAGTACCCTTGTGGATTCTACATTCTACTCGCTTGGGCACCAAGCGCATCTTATGAGATGGAACAAAAAGGCGGCCATAGAATTCTTGGGTAAAAAACTGACATCGCAACTTTTAATCCCAGTCATGTTTAGGTATCAGCCCCTTGCCCGCCAATCCCAGAAAATCCCCAACTGCGAGAAAATCATAGCTGGACTAGCTGAGTCCAACTTGACTGTGAAAAGATCACCATTCTCAGGGCACAAAAGGGGCACAAAAGGGGCACTTGGCTTGAAAAACTCTGCAATGTGGCCCCAGTGAATAAAACAAGTTGCTTTAGATTCGCCCCAGTAACTAGTTCGTTAAATACCATAAACCATAGTTATTGGAGTTATTGGCACCAACTTAGTAACTATATGGTACTAGTTCGTTATTTAAGCGTACCATTTTTACCACTTCGTGATTTTCAGCCACCGTTGCAATCAGGTCAGGTGACCCAGGTCAGCAAGGTCACCCTTTGGTTCTCGCCGCGCTTCCTGAGATTTCGAGAGGGATGGTGGGCCAAGGGTTGATCAATTCAATGGACCGATTTAAGGGAAAATCTTAACCGGAAACCAGCGATTTTCCCATGAAGATCATGGGTCTTTCCTGTAAATTGTCCCTTAAACCAATCCATTGATCAATATTTCAGGTCCCCAGCCGGCTCAGCATTCCGAACTCTCAGTGGCTCTGACTTTGTCAAGAAAAAATCCACAAAACATGGCTTTAAGCAGATCAATCATGACCACGACTTCAAAGTTCATGCAGAGTTGTTGATGTTCATTCAGCGGCTTTATGCCCCTGCTTCATGGTGTTTCAGTGCTTCACAAGCGATGGAAATCGGGTACAAAAAATCGCTAGGAATCTCATCAAATTAAGCATCGTTTATGCCCAGCTCCCTACCCATTCTTGATGATTTTTCGTCATCTACAATGAACCCCAGATCTACTGTGAATTTGTTTTCGTAGGTTTGGCCCAAATCCTTTGAGTCATCCATCATCCATAATTTACATGTGCTGAATTAAACGTGAAACCCTGGGGTCCATCATCTTGCTATGAAACCTTCCTCCTTTAGCCTTCCTGGAGTGAAATGTCTCCATTTCACTCCAGGAATACCCAAGCAAACCCAATCTGGATGTTCTTCAGGGGTATCCCAAATCCATTGCTTCCCAAAAGAATCGCCTTTTGCTGAATATAAATGGATAGGGCAGTCAAACCCCTGGGACACATTCGGTAATTTTTCCCTAAAAATTGCCCTTTCTAATGGATCTTCATTCCCCAAAATATGGTTAGAATTGGTTTTGACCCATCCCCTAATATTTGTGGATGATGATTTTGAGGTCCCCATGTTCGCGAGAACGGCCGTGTCAAGTGGCCGTCCCCAATCTCCATCGGCCGCTTGACACTTGGATCGAAGATTTTCCCCGCGAAAGAAGGTCCTGGCACCGAGATTTATGGGGGATGAAACTACCTTCTGGTAATTGAAGATAGTCCTTTTTCCATAGGTATTACCACCGTAAATCCAAATCACCATTGTTTCATAGCTATTAAAGGTAAGCAATTGTTTCCATAGCGAAAATCACCATATTCATAGGGAAATTAGTCAATGGAGTTCCGCTTGGCCCAGGTTACGGGTGTTTACATCCAACCAACTTGAATTTGACACCCACTTTGAAAACAAAAAATCTGCAATCTGCAGAGTTCACTCAAAATCAGGTTTCAGGATGTGATGCTTTACCCTCTGGTTATGTCAAACATAGCTATTGAAAATGGCCATTTATAGTTGATATTCCCATTAAAAATTGTGATGTTCCGTAGTTATGTTTGATTACCAGAGGGTAACCTGTACTGAAATTTGAGCCCAGAAATGTTGGCTTCTTGAGTACCTCAGGTGGCGTATCAAGATTTTTTCATCCGCAGCCAACATTTTTGGTAAATGGCCAGTGATCATGCTGCATGCTTGCAACGCGATTGACAGGAAGACCCAACTAGGCAACGTTGCCAGCCATGATTGCAAACCAGTTATATATCTATATATATAGTTCGATGTGCATCCTAGTAATCGAAAGTGGTTATATAATAACCATTAATAACCCATGTGCCACGGGCGAAAACATTCTATTTACAAAAGGGTGAACTAACCATTGTTATTGACCACATACCAAGCGGGATGCATATCCTAGTACTTCTGGTTGAAAGACAAAATTGGCCGCTAAAAAATGCGAATCTCCCACTTACTAAACCAACATGTTTCACTGTGTTTCACTTAACAACTATAGGAAACTCCGTATGTTGATACCATGTATGTATATGTATATGTATATTTATATACATATATATATATATACAGATATATTCATACTCGTATATGATATATGTACATATTAAAAAGATTTAAAAAAAAAAAATCCAGTTGCCGGAAAAAAACAAAAAAAACTATCCTTGCTGAACCCCAACCTCCAAATGCCGCAAACCCAATGCCTGGGGCAACGGGAAGCGGCTAAGGCGGCATCCCCAAAATCATGCGATCTTCTTTTGGAAAACAAAGGATGGTGTCCGCCCACTCATCAAAGGCTTCAAAAAATCACCAACCATTTCCGGAACCTGGAATCTGGGGAAAATTGTGTCAAACAAATGGGAACAAAATAGTGTGTGCATCTCTTTCCTCAATATGCGTCATATCCATCTTGTGGGATGATTTCACCCAAATAAACCATCAGTTGTGGGGTTTGGTCAACCAATCAGGTTCCTTGGTGCTTTGGCCATCTTGGCTGACCCCCTGGTTCAAAAAGCAGTGTTTGTCAGCAATTTGGGTGGAAAAAAACATACCATACCCCTATAGGCCCCCAAAAAAGTTGGTTGCGGATTAAATCCCAAAGTTTGAATCCCAAAGTTGGTGAAATCTCACAAAATGCCTATCATTTACCCACTGGTCATCCAGAAAACTGCGGCTTCGCTCTGCTTGTAAACTCGCCACCCCATCTGATTATCGCCAAGCCACACGTACGTAGAATGGAAAAACGTGCTGGAACCACTCTGAAAAGTTACACACGGTGCATATAATGATATATACACATATCAAAACTTATAGAAATATAATACATCGAAAATCGTCTCAAATACGATTCTTCATTGCCCTGGTTACACCAGCACTGACAAAACCATCACTACCAAGGTCGGCGTCAGCCGCGCCTTCAACACCTGCGACACGCTCACGCCGTGCTTGTAGCAGTACAGAAGGCACAACCTGAGAGCTGTTGGATTTTCTATGTTTTTCTGGATAGCAACCTACGCAGTTCTGGCCCTTCACTGTGCTGGCGACGGTTAAACCCCAATTGATATATCTAAGCCGGTTGTTATCACGGTGAAGCTTTTGCCGTTCCTGCAAACGTCTCTCAAGCCATGGCCTGTGGTTCAATACATACAGCATGTATATATATATATATATGTATATGTATATGTATATATATACATGGAAACATATATTTACACCACCAACAACAATATCCAAGGTATCACTTTTTAACATGCCGGGCTGCGAGTAGTTTAAAATCAGCAATTCTTCTTGTCGCTAGTGTGTTGACTACAGTATTGTAATGTATTTTACATGTCCAATGTTGATGCACGTATGTCCCGGTCTTTCGGGATAAATGCTGGAGTTGCTTTCTTTCAAAAATAAATTTGTGGATGGCTCAATAACACTCATTCGGAGTAACAATGGAAGCATAAATGACTGATCCTTCTGGAATGAAACCATCCAATCTGTAAGGAATACCCTGTATCTGTCTGGTTGAAGGAGCACAAAAACCGAGCTTACATGCCCTTTCTGCCGCTTCATGCGAACTGTGTATCATCCAGAGACCTATATGTGGGGTTCTAAATGGTGGTACCCCCAAATGGATAGTTTATAATAGAAGATACCATTAGAATGGTTGATTTGGGGGTACCCCTATCTCAAGAAACCCCCATATGTAAAACTACATCATGTGGTAAACCCAGTTCCATAAACCATTGAGTCAGTTTTTTAGCGACATCGCGAATTTCGCTGGTCAAGTCACATCTTGTCTGCTGCAGATGTTGCTGATCAGATTCAGTTTGTGTCACTTAATCTGCAATGTGGCCCCCCCAGTTATAAGTTGGTTTATAAGCCCCAGTAACTATAGTTGTTTGCGTACCATAAACCATAGTTATTGGAGTTATTGGCACCAACTTAGCTATCTTGGGGGTCTCACATTGTGGATAAATGATCCTGTTTTGGGGGTTGTCAATCAGATTCTGCTTCTTAAACCCACCTTTGTTCTGGTTGAATTACCCTCTGGTAATTTAACATAGCTATTGAAAATGGCCCATTTATAGTGGATTTTCCCATTGAAAATGGTGATGTTCCATTGCTATGTTAGTTTACCAGAGGGTAACATAAATCCCCAAAAATCCTGTCTTCTATCCATCACACCATTGGATTCCATTGGCCCTGGGGAAGGCGACTCATCCTTAGACATCTCCCTGGAAGACAAAAGCTCCTGGCTGAGGAAACCCTGAAGATTCCACCCAGATTGAAGAATTTCATGGTTCAGCAGGTGGCTTGGTTTTTTTCGGGAAATGTTTCCCATGATTGGATTTCAAGTATTGTTTTTTTTTGGCCTGGCACTGGGGGAGCCGAAATGGTGTACTTCAAGCCAAATGTAGATTGTCTCAATGCCGAATCACTTAGTAAAAGCGTGAGGAAATCCTTCAGAATATTGTGATTTGACGCGAAAATATTGGATTTACACTCTTGTAATTTAACATAGCTATTGACAATGGCCCATGTATAGATTCTATACATGGGCCATTGATATAGATGATTTACCTATTAATAGTGGTGATTTTCCGCTTCGCTACGTGAAAAATCAGCAGAGGATATCCACCATCGGTTCTCGACTCCATCGCTACACCCTTGTCTTTTGCGGGTCATTGTCCATCTGCACCCACCACTTTCTGGTGCTTAGTAGGGAATGAGGGAATGAACCATAATCACTAGTAATAATCATCCCATTCCCCCATTCCCATCCATTCCCTACTAAGCACCAGTAAGAAAATCATAAGAATCATGGCTTTTGAAGCCACTACGATGGATACCTTTGCCACGATAATGTCCTGGGAAAAACTAGAGGCTTGGCAGTGGTACGCTAGGTAGAACCATGTCTTTTGCACCATCAGAGGCAGCTGCACCCGAATCAACCCAACAATCATGTTATTTGGACTGGAGGCTCATCCTATACATCCTCGTACATCCTGTTTCAGTGGGAAAAAATCGATATCTCACTATATCTAAGTCATCAGACCATAAGATATCCCATCAAATATCAAGATATCTGAGAATATATCCCTCAAAAACATCCCATTAAATATCGTAATAATTGCTGTAAAATCTCCAAAATATACTTGAGAACTCGCCCAAAAATTGTCCTGCTTGGAACATGCCATACCGGCTTAGTTTCTCACCTCCAGCTGTCGCAGGAAGGTGTCGATCGAGGGCTTGGCCGAAAGAACCAAGGAACTGCCGTCCTGGCGAAAGAGCCATGGGTGATCCAAATGACCTGCGAAATGGTTGGATTGAGGATTGAGGACTTTCCATGAGTTGAAGACTCAATTTTATATGGCCCATTTTTTTTGCTTCAAACAGGTCACTGTCAGACACTGTCAGACTCCTCAAATAGCGGAAATCAATGGAAATCACATGATGGCCTCAATTTGTGCCAAGTTCTCTGCTCCCAAACAAAGGCTTGTAAAGCTCAAGTGCCTTTTAAAGCTTGAGGGTCAGGCTGCCTTCTAGAAAGATGGTGAGTCTTTCTGAGTGAATGGCACCAAAAATGGCACCAAAAATGGAAAAAATCAGGAAACCTCCCAGGTTTGGTGTATACTCAAAATCAACTGAGCCATCCCCAAACCACAAACAGTATGAGGATTTGTCTCCCTACCCACGGTGAAATCGCCTAAAGTTGGGTGTATTTCACCCCTGACGAACTCCCACGAGTGGAATTGAAAGCCTCAAATAGGATGATCCACCGTATGGACTTTGGCAAGTATTCATCTGTACCTTGCTAACTAGATCTAATCAAAAGGTAGAAGATCGGCTAGATAACTTCAAACACTGTTGGAGATGGTTGCTCTTACTACCCTCTGGTAAACAAACATAGCTATTGAAAATAGCCATTTATAGTTGATTTAGCCATTAAAAATTGTGATTTTCCATAGTTATGTTAGTTTACCAGAGGGATGTGTGGTCATAGCTAATCTTACATTAGCGAAAACTTACATGAAGTGATTCGTCGATGTATCATCAAGACGATAGAGAAAAATGTCACCAACCTTTCGCCAATTGGTTTTCCAATTCAAAAAGAAACATGATACCAATTTGAATGGAAAACCAATTGGAAAATCCTAATCAAAATCAAACGTGGCCATGGAAAACCAATTGATGGGGATTCTCCTAATCAAACGTGGCCATGGAAAATCCCCATTTCGTTCGATGATCTGCCCAAGAAAACCTGAGCGCGGGGATTTCCCATTGCCATGTTTGAGGACACCAGAGGGTATTCCTATGATAGATCCACGGTGCGTGGCTAGTATAGGTCACAAAAAAGTGGGATCCACTCCACTTTTTCGATCATGAATCATCCCTAAGCAGGCTGCAGAGACCCGATTTGAAAAAAGATAGGGATGGTTTATGGTTGTGGATCCCCGATAAGTCCACTTCCGACTTTTAGAAATCTGAAACCATGGCCTCTGAGATGGTCAAAAACGCTTTAACGTCCCAAATTTTCTGCGACGGTTGACCCCCAGTTTACTCCAAGAGTCTCCACAACAAACCATCAACAAACCATCTATCTTCGCGAAAAAACATCCAAGTGCTTCTTATATCATCTATCTTCGCGAAAAAACATCCAAGTGCTTCTGGAATTATGTTGAAACTCCATTTTTGCCAGTGAAACCTGCTTTAAACCCTCCATATCTGGTGAAGCCCTAATTGTCCTCCACCCCGCAGCCGACAAGCAAGGCATCGTCTGGGAGGGCTTGGTTCTCCAGGGAGAGGACCTGCAAAAGGAGCTGGTGATATGGAGCTTCCATAAATGGGGCTACCCCAAAATGGATGGTTTATACAGGATGGGGCCTTCAGTCGATAGCGTTCAGTTGCCCTAGAAAAGTGGCTGGATTCTATGGCTTCAAGGGCTTCTGTTAGATATATATATATATATACAGTGTATATATATATATATATATAACTATAGTTAAGGGGGTTATAATGGTTTATAAACCAACTTATAACTGGGGGGCCCCATCCTGTAGTTTATAATGGAAAATCCTATGAAAATGGATGCTTTAGGGATACCCCAAAACCAAGGAAGCCTCTGATGGGATACAATGACGAAACGTGGTGTTTTTTGTTCCACTACATCTAGACATGCATTTCGAAATCATAGGATGGATAAACCCAATCTTCGGTAAATTGAAGCCCAATATCCCATAGATTTTTTAGGTAAACGTTTGCATAACTATGGTAAATCCACTAAATTTCTATGGCCATTTTCCAGTTCGCAAACTGTTTGACATAACCAGAGGCTCAGAGGGTACCTTTTTTTTTTTCGAGATCTGTGAAGCCCAAGGTTGACGCTTTCATCCCCGGATGGGGTTGCCATAAATGGTGGATCCCCAAAATAAGTAGTTTATAATGGAAAAAACCATTAAGATTGATGATTTGGGGGTAACCCCATTTCAGGAAACCTCCACTTGTAGGATATTGTAGGATATACCCTGGTACATATTGCTAATAACCATTTCCTGACTGGGAAACACACCCCAAGGAAAATTGGGAAATTCAGAGCCCAAAAAAATGAGGAAAAAATACCAGTTCTATCTCCAAAAATTATATATGTTAAGGATGTTCCTAACATGGAGGACACCAAAATAATGTCCAAAAAAGACATGTTATGGCATTGTTTATGGCTATCTTGTAGCCATATGATGAGATATAATGGGAGAAAAAGTTAGGGATTAAAAAAAGTTGAGAAAAATTAGCGTTCATCAACTGTGAACCACATTTTTTATGGATGTGTACAAAATAGGTGCTATTTCGTGGAATAGATGTAGATATATGACCGAGGTGTCGGAAGATGGGGCATACCCCCAGTGGAAAGATTCGAAAGTTGGAAATCCGGGAACTAATGGTGGGGTCTTTGACCATCTATAGCATCCTGGAATGGTTCACTATAATCTATTGAATCTATTGTTTTCCAATTCTTCTGTATGGTGCCAATATAATACCCTCTGGTAATTTAACGTAGCTATTGAAAATGGCCATTTATAGTGGATTTTCCCATTAAAAATGGTGATCTTCCATAGCTATGTTAAATTACCAGAGGGTAAGCAAAATATTTGCCAATCATCATATTAGTCGCACCCTTCAAGATCTGTCCTCACCTGATCCGGAAATGGCACCAAGGACACAGTGGCAACACGCTCCTGGCGCGTGTCTTTTCGGCGGTTCCCGGTGGTTTTGAGCCATTTGGGGTTCCAAAAATAGGACAAAAAATAGGGACCGTCATCCAAAGGTATGACTAGCTTGAGATAACTTAAGTGTTTATGGTGACAAGTGTTTATGAATGATGGGTTTGTCCGAGACCAGGTATATACCCTATTTTCAGACAAGCCCGAATGAGCGAGCCACGAAAAACACCCTATCCCATCTCATTATATATATTGGTTAGCCTCTGGTAAACGTTTACAAACAACTATGGAAAATCACCATTTTTCATGGGAAAATTCACTATAAATGGTGATGTTCCATCGTTTTTTGTATGTTTACCAGAGGGTAGCCAATAAATATTCCTTTTCATGGATGTCCAAAATCATCAACCAGACGCTATAAAAGCATTCGTCAAACCCAGATGAGCACCCAGAAACCAGTGGCGTGGCACAGGAGCACCCCCAACCAGCCAGTGGGTGAAGCTGCAATCTACTGAATCCATACATCTACTTGGCACTACTTGGTGCTTCATCCTACATCGTTTTTTTTCTCAGTAGCCACTTCGATACTGTACCTTATCAAAACCATGCTGTGAGTAGGTTGATCGTCCACAAAAAGGACTTCCAATTTGTGATCGCACACCGCCTTGCGGCCTCACCCTGGATGGCCCTGGCATTGTCGCCCTGTTGACGGCCCTTGACTGGTCATACTTGGGATCGGTCAATTTCGTTGTAGAGCCCTGAGATTAGTCACTGCAGGCAATCGTAGGTCTCTACAAACAAAGCACTGACCACCCGCAATTGCTGCCTGCCTTCAATCCATCCCAAGAATATCACACTCTTCAGAATATGATATTGGGATCATCATCCCAAGTAGGATGGATTTTTTTGTGAAATGATTTTTAAGAATTTAAGACATTTCCAGATTTCCTGCTGTCCGAAAGCTTCCATATCCATGGCCAGCCCCCAAAAAAACACCCCAAATTAAATAAGTTGGAAACGTGATAACTATGAGTTTGTGAATCATCTGCGACATCCTGTCAAACGGCTTTGGGTATCTGACATGTCTCCAGTTTGCAAACGTGGTATCTCATCTTTGTTGATTCTATCCCCATCCAATGGAGATTGAGATGCCAGAAAGAAATGGGAACATCTTGTGAAAGATCCGAAATATTCCAACAATGACTTGACATGTATGGTTTTCGCCTCCAACAACTTGAGTTGGATCGCCTATGGATCCTCATTTTGACATATGTGTTCCCGAATTGTGGAAATAAGAAATCAAAGAAATTTGTAAATGCGAGATCCCGATTGTATCACTTGACATGGATCCTTACACCCATCCATGCAGCATTTTGCAAGTCCCCCCATAGAGCTGATGATCGTCTCCCCACTACTGCTTGAAGGTACACCCTATTTTCAGACACATATCATACTCAAGCTGATTATCATATGTATATATATATATATACATGTATATTATGTATACCCCATGAGGTAATATCCCGTGCAAAAATCCAGCAAGATGCTGAAATCCCAATGGTTGACATTGCAATCCCAGTTGTTAATGGTGATCGCCTGCCTTCAGAGACGCCACCGTATCCTTTGCACCTGACCGAAAAACATGGCGAGAAAACGCGGAAGAAAGAAATAGCAGGGGCACCCCAAGCATGTAATTATGTACTTAAACATGTTATTTATATGTATTTATAAATATATACGTTTATATTAGAAATGTGCAAATGTAAACATGTTGTGTTATATTATAATATATTATATATACATCCACGACTATAATAGACTGTCTCGCCGTAGCGTCAACGGCTCAATGCGACCCTTTATTTTTCTCTCAATTGTAGCCATTCAACTTGTTCTGCTTTAAATGTGTCATTGGGTGACATTTTGAGAATCCCTGCGCTGCAGTTTTCTGTACATACGGGATCCATGATTTTCTGGACACCAGCTTGTCTGTGCAAGGCTGCAGCAGACAAGACTAAAACATTTCCCCCAAGTTTTTCGAACGCGTTGCGGCCCAAGCTGCTCTGACGCATCGATTGTTTGATGCCGCCAAGCCTAGTCACTATCTCCAGCAGCTTTGAAATTTTGCTGGTTTTCCTTCACAACAACTTTGGATCCTTCGGAGAAAGCTTTGAAAATTTGCAAGAGGGGTAAGCACCTTGAGGCGGCTCAACCCTTTCAGGCTGCACATCTGAAGATATCTGAAGATCGTTAGCTGCCGATTGATAGGCGGGAGAGCCATCAGCTACAAAGGACAGACATGACACTTTCGGGATTGGTGGTACCATGGAAAAATGCACGTTTTTTTCCATAAAACCTACAGAAAACGGCGTTTCGCCTAAACGAAACCAGCATTTTCGGACATGACTTCGAAATTTGAAGGGACGGCGAGACAGTGGTTTTGCGGGCGTATATGCATGTGTATATATATATATATGTGTATGTATGTATGTATGTATGTATTGTATTGTAATGTAATGTAATGTAATGTAATGTAAATGTAATGTATGTATGTATGTATGTATGTATGTATGTATACGCATATAGATATGTACATATATATATATATATAATATATATAATATATATATAGCAGGTTCCAAGGTTCCAATGGTGCGGTTCCGTTCCTTTTTTGGGCTCAGAGATTAGAGCAACGCACCGCAAAAACCGACGAAGAGAGGTTTAAGCCCAACAGTCACTCCTGGTGGGAATGAAATCATGGATGTTTGGAGAAATAATCCAAGGGCCATCTTGGAGTAAATTGAAAAGCCCCTGAACTTCATTCTTTTGGGGACTTTCTTCTTTGCTAGGGTGAAGTTTAAGATTCTTCTACTCCGAATAGTATAGATCGAAAAGAATTTCCGTGCTAATTTGAAAGAATGGGTGTCCTTTTCCATCTGGGGATGGGTCTGTTCACATGTCCAAACCCTGTCTGTTCACATTAAAATAACTGGTAAATAGATGTCCATCCCTAAGAAAGTGTATTTTACAGCTATTGATCCATAGCCCCTCTGGCATCACGATTCGTTCGATCTTCCAATAGCCGGTGGAGGAGCCCCTAGGGAAGAATATCTCGCCAAATATTTGAAGGTTTCCATAGTCATGGGGGTACCCAATAGCTGGATGGTTTACAAGAGAAAATCTATGGATGATTAAGGGCCAGCCCCATGTCTGGAAACCCCTTATATATTTATATCCATTTATCCCATAAACAAATCCAAGTTGCAAATCCAAATCCTGGGAATCCCAGTTTCCAGCGACTCCCCTGGATGCCTACCACCAAATTGAAGGATGGGACCCTCTCCAGACCGCTGGACAGATCCACCGTCACCTCACATCCGATCCACTCGCCAGGCGCCAGGGGAACGGGCATCAAACAGGTCGTGAAAAAACCGTTGATCCGGGATTTGGTATATACTATATACAGTGGTAGATAGTGTAGATGATGATTCAAATTATTAGATAGTGTAGATGATGATTCAAATTATTATATATATATGTATGTATGTATGTATATATAACGGAGATTGAAACCCAACTGTCACTGGAAGGCAGCGATCCAAAGCACAAAAAAACGACTGTTGTGTGTTGAAGCCATGGGATGTTCTGAGCCAATTCCTCCCTGGTTCACGGCTCGCACCTTGACCTTCATGGACGGCAAGGACCTACAGAGGGTGGCATTGGCTAGCCTCTGGTAAGGAAAAACCGTTCGCGAACTGGAAAATCACCATTTTTCATAGGTAAATCGCTGGAAAATCACCATTTTTCATAGGTAAATCAACATAAATCAACTATTTCAATGGCCATGGCTTCAAGTTCGCAACATGTAACCAAGGACCAGAGGGTAATGGAGATATTCAGGTCCTGAATTATTTTAAACAAATCCCAATATATTGACGTCCGTATTACCCTCTGGTAAACTAACAGTTTGCGAACTGGAAAATGGCCATAGGAATAGTTGATTTTCCCATTAAAAATTGTTATTTTCCATAGTTATGTTAGTTTACCAGAGGGTATTTTACAATGGCAAAACTGCTCATGCGAATGGTGGTGGTCCAGACCGTCGAAAAAAAATCCACTGTCAATGTCACTAAACGTTGACCAAACAGAGGTATATACATTTGAACAGAAACGATTCATGTTTGCTCTCATCCAACCCATGATTGATTCTGTGATCGCCACCCTTCATCATTTTTATTCCGCTGTCGTCCAATTTTGGCAACTGTTCTGAAATCCATTCAGTTTCGTACCATCATGGTGGCATGTAAACAGTCCCAGCTGCATTTTCAGAGTGCAAGAAAGATGTGAGACCTGAAATGCGGACACATTATCACTAGATTTCCATGTTGTAGATAATATGGAATCATTAGATTTCCAGTAAATATTATCTACAACATGGAAATACATATTTCCACTGAAATTGGATTCCATGGATGTTCGTATTTTGTTTGAACCGCACAAAATATTGGTCCATGCTGCCATATTTATCAACAACAACATCACCACCAGCATCATCATTTTCATTGTAAGATCTTACAAATTTGTGTTGGATGCAAAATCCATGTTGTGCAATATCTTGTGGTTAAATCATAACGTTTAAAGTTTAAACCTATTTTTATTGATCCCAAGTTCGTGACCATCATATGCAACAATATGATCACAGTCCGTTGGTGTTTTGCTCGTGCCACCACACCCAAATTTTGCACTGCCTGTCAACATTGCGGTACAGACATGTTCGGTAAGCTGATCAAACTGCGGCATGGTGCGAAAAATGTCTGTTCACAACACGCGAATGATAGCATCAATACCGCGATCAATCTACAAATTACCAATACATGCGACGGTTGACGAAACTTTGTTTTTTACTGATTGCATCATATTATATTGTCATGATGTTTGGTTGCGTATATTGCACACGCGAATTGAAATTGGATTTTGAATTTCAATTTTTCAACATTGCCAATACCATTGCATTCCCAAGAAAACATGTCAGATGGAACCATGTTCTGTCATTCAACTTCGGAATTTTTGCGATTATCAGTCTTGCCTTGAGGCAAAAAATGATGACTATTGAGATTGCCGAATACTTGTGGAATAATTGTATTCGATACCACGTACTGAAAATGTTCACCACCCAAGAAATCAGGTTTGAATTGCACATCCTACGCATGCGCTGAATGACTGTACAACTGTCAAATGTATGTATGACCCTTGGTGATCTACCGTCTGCAGTGCAATATGACCCTTGAGTTGTTGCCAACTAAAACCCCACTTTGGTATTCCCCAATTTCTATGGATGCGATTGGTTCAGCGGCGCTGGAAAAATCAAAGTCCAAAAAGAACCTTTTTTGCCGACAGCTCTCTGTTCGTCTCGAGCTCGCCGATGGAAACACAGTGAGTAGTGGCTTGAACTTGATGGTGGTTGATGGTGGTTGATGGTGGTTGATGGTGGTTGATGGTGGTTGATGGTGGTTGATGGTGGTTGATGGTGGTTGATGGTGGTTGATGGTGGTTGACGGTGGTTGATAGTTGCATGAATCTGAACTGTTCAAACTGCTGTGTTGACCGTCAAACACGAAGTCTTGACTCGCCAAAATCTGGGTATCATTCAAAATGAGAGTTCAATCATGAGAAATCAGGATTTCACCTGCAGATCATTTTTTTGGCTGTTCGGAATGTGCCTTTGCTTTTCAGGTTTGGTATTCGACCTGGCTGGTTTGGGATCCTCATCAACCACTACCCGTTGGTTCACATGGCATGCAGTGCTACGGCTGCAGACAAGAAATCTGGCCAATCACTGTCACATGTACATTTGGAAGCTAGGTGTGTCTTTGTTCAGGGTAGAGAGATCCTGCCAATCATGTTCCATATGTTGAAAGCCAACAGTTGTGTGGTAAAGACAAAGTAAATGAAATTTCTTCACGGTTTATCAAGCCTCCCAAATGGTAGAAGTGACTATGGTTTGGCATTGAGTTTGCAACATGACATAACCAAAATTGTCTCAAAATGGTGGATACTCCATTTTACGGACCAAACCTGCAATGTGAGGCCCCCCAGTTATAAGTTGGTTTATAAGCCCCAGTAGCTATAGTTATAAGTACCATAAACCATAGTTATTGGAGTTATAAACCAACTTAGCTATCCAACGGGGGCCTCACATTGTGGAAATGATGATAAACCATGGTATGGAATGGAGCTGTAAATTTAGTGTGTTAAACTTGAACATAGTCGCTTAGAAAAAAAAAATCATCTGGCGCAATCCATCTTCAGTATACAAGTAGCATGTCCATCTATACACTTGAGCATTGAACATAGTCCTATCCTGTATATCTTTATTATACTGAACGGAACACAGGTATTCCGTAAATTGTGTTAGTTCCTAATTCCCGAATGGCTCACATGCGATCTACAGTATAGCCCTTTTCACAGTTATCACTGGCTTAGAAAACCTCATTTAACTGATATGTAATATGTAACTCACAAGTTATTTCATCCCATGGCCATAACTGGCTTATAAGGACATAACCAACTGTAATTAGTGATCTTTCTCTCCTCTTGGCCCTTTTCTTGACTTCAGCAGTGGCCAACCGGCAATTGGAGTCACTGTTGGGAGGAGGGTGGATTGAACTTTCGATGTTTTTTTTTGCGCTAAGATTCCAGATAGGAATACATACCAAAACAAGTACAGTAAAGAATGCTTTATTTAGAATGATGCATAACAATGTCTCGATTTGCAAATTATAATATATCACTGTATAACATGATAAACTGTGTAGAAATGCTACCGGTAGACATCTTCCGCAAACAAAAATTATCGAACACGCAATCTGAAAACATCTTGAACCAATCCTTATCCCTATTCTCGGAAAAAATCCCCTGGAATCACCAAAGTATTACGCGACTTTGTGCAGCCATGGCTTTCATCATTCGAATTCGAATTCCATCGATCCGATCGTGATGATTTGGGTCCAAAGTTTCACCCACGACCATCACGACCAAGATATATGCCAGATATATGCCAGATATATGCCATGGTCAAGTTACATATGGATACAATTGGTATATATATAAAATATATATTAATATAAATATATATATATATATTACCAATATATGCCAGATATATGCCAGATATATGCTATGGTATATGTGGTATGGTCCATATTGTCATCCATCCCATTATGATAGTCCATATGATGGGTGTCCAAATCCCTATGGATCCATTGATGACTGTTGCACATTGTGGCACATCAATGACCATCTTGACCCTAATGATACTAATACTGATAGTCACCGTTATTATGGGGTGGCTCATTACTCAATATGGGCAAATGACAGATGAATACAAATGATACTAATAATGATACTAATAATATCTAATACTCATGATACTCAAGATACTTATGATACTCATGATACTCATGATACTCATGATACAGTACTAACAATTTTATCAAATCATGTCACAACTCCCAAAGAAAAGAAGTCCCTTTGGGGTGACTGTGACTAACTTCCTGTGGAGCTTACGACATCGTTTTCCATCGTCAGCTGTGTGAGGAACCACCCTCTGCTCCAAGGCCGGCTCAGCACAGCCAAGATTTGTTGAAAAACCGGATCTGCCACGATCATCTGGTTGGGCATGATGGGATAATATGGGAGACACTGTGAAATATGATTTATCAAAAAATCGAATCCCAAAGTGCCACGACTTGTGTGTTTTGTTCATATGGCTTCGTCTGAAAATAGGCTACCACCAAATCCAATGTTTTTTTCACAATCTTCCGGATGGCTAGGCTAGGGGGATTATGTTTTTTCCCGACTTTCAGACACACCCATATCAAATCAAGTTAGTTATGTAATATACTTATTAAACTATAATATATATATATACAATTATATACATATATATATATATATATGTATAATTATATATATATAATTATATATAACTGATTATAATTATATATATAACATAATGAATATATATATATATATTATAATAATAACAATAATAATAATTAATAATAATAACAATAATAATATATATATAATATTATATAATATCCCTTTCTATAAGACTGTCTCCCATGCTCTCCCATCATATCCCCTTAAAATCCTTAAACTAGCTAACTAGCCATAAAGTTCCCAAGTCCCAAAGTGCTCAACGAAAAAACCATAATGGACCATCATGTTGCACGCAAATTGCCGCGAGAATTTTCCATGCCCTGTGTGACCTGGTTTGGTCAGCTGAGGTTTTCGTTGCGCTTAGCTGGAAAATCCCTGCACTAAATGGAGGTTTCTAGCTGGGAAAACAATACCGTGAAAAATATTCCTGTGGAATTTTCCAGAAAGCCATCTTTGAGGACCCTGGATGCAGGTCTTTTTTAACGACCACTAAGCATGGCTCTGTTTGGCCTCAATCGTACTGCTAAAAAATCACGGACTGTCAACTGATTTCTGTGATGAAATCAGTGTAGTGCTACTGTAACTAAGCCATATCCGACCATATCCTCGGCCATGATGCTTTGAGATCTCTTTTGAAAAATATCTCGACATGTACTTTTCCATATGTAAAGTGGCCCCCCAGTAAATGTTAGTGGGTTTAGTTTCACTATGTTTCACTTCATCTGGAGCCAAAACTGATCCACAATAAATCCAGGCTCCAGTTGCTGGCAACAATACGACGATCTGTCTGGAGAATAACAAACCATACCCTTGATTTATCTGGATAAAGTAGTAATTCACTGACCTGAATTAAGGATCATTAGAGCTATATATTTTGGGATAGTTGCCCCTACCAATTTGGGATAGTTATAATTCATCCAGAATCTTATGTAAACCCCGCAAAAACAGAATAGCTGCATAGTCTACCTTAGTCTACATCTTCGCCAGCAAATTCTAGCAAAAAACAATTCCTCGCACCTAAAATCAACGAAAATCTCGATTTTAGCCACCATGCACATCATGCACCGGCCGTGAAGAATTGGAGGTTTAGGAATCGATATGCTGCCACTCAACATCCTCGTCATCAACTCCCTCCAGGATCAAAGCAGTGGCGACGCGACTGTCATCGTCTCCGTCGTCTCCTGTCTCGGCTTTTCGGGCCCAGGAATACCAACGACTGGGAGTCATACACGATCCCAGAACGGGGCATACCCGTTCTAATCATAAATCCTAATAAAAGGAATTTGGTTGGTGGTTGAGCCCTACCCCTCTGAGAAATGATGGAGTGAGTAACAGTTGGGATTATGAAATTCCCACTATGATGGAAAGTCATAAAATTCCATGGTTCCAGTCACCACCAACCAGGAATGAATTACATTGAATTACTCATTATATTGGCTAAGCGCCACATTCCCAACTTCTAAGGGTGGGATTCCACAGGAATAGTATGGCTATCGTTCTGGAAAATCCACCAAAATATCGGTCGAACTCCCGACAGCGGCGAGAACTTCGAGAAGTTCTGGCCGATGAGGTTCTTCCAGGAACATCCAGAGTCATAGGATAGCAAAATGTGAAAAATGTGAAGAAAAAAAAACCAGGGGCAATGTGAAATGCACCGTGCCCCACTACTTTTCACTAGTTTCTGAATCAATGACTTCTACGCACCGATCACCCAGCCTGAAGGGTGTTCAGCAACCATCTGGCGCGCAAGCAGAAGATCTACACAGTTACGGCCCTTAAGAGTTATGGCCATGGGATCACTTAAATGCGGTTTTCTTACCCAGTTAGCTGTTGAGGGCACTGCAGGAAACCCAGGAAACCTTGAATTTCGCTTGCCAAACATGGGGCTCGCAAATAGTGTTCCTGAAAAAAAGTTCAGAGTTGGATTTGGATGGATTTTGATAACCCATAGGATCCATGTATGCTATATATGGTAACATTTACCATCAATATACATCAATATACCCCCAATGTTAGCATATATACCATACATGGATCCTATGGGTAAGCGGCTTATGTGTTTAACCCCATGCAGCTAGGACCCCCATGCACCTTATGGCTTCGATCCAGAAATCATGGATGCTAAAAGAGCCCCTTTTGTTGGTAACTCAGTGACCCAGTCGGATCGAAAAGTTCTGCAACCTGGGAGGGTTTGCCCTTACTTCATACCCGATTCAAACCCACACACCCAAACCTGCGAAATGTTCATTTAGTGAAGTACTGGGTTTGTGGATTTTTAGGGTGTGTATATAGTACATTTTCATGAAATGACTTACTTGCATGTTCAATTGTTGTGAAGCTCTGAAATGTTTCGCCACGAGTCATAACCATTCAGGGTTTGCTACTGGTAGTTTCAGACAATTTTTCAGCATGAGCAGTGTTCAACACCTGTTGCCCTCTTATACTGAATGGCCAATGGTTCACACAACGGATTGTATTATATTATATTATATTAACCCACAATATATTGGATAGGAAATCCACCTCTATGATCATCAACCCTCCCAGGAGTTTGAACATTACTCATATGCTTGCAGGCCAAGCTTGTGTACCCCAAAACGGATGGCTCACTCGACCCAGAACTGTGGAACCCTGGCGGAAGATCTTCACTAACACCATCTAACACCCACATGAATGTACTTGGATGTTCATCCCCAGAATCCCAACTTGCTTGAAAAAACCGCGTTTAACGTGAAAAAAAAAATACCAGGAACATATGGGACCTACTATTGAAAGTTCGCAGGTCCGTTTCGGATGAACCTGTGGGATCCTGGTCCGGTACATGGCCAGGCACCTCTATCCACAGAACCTCAATCCACTTTTCATAGAGAATATCTTAAGGGAACATAAACCAGTTGTGGCCAGGCTTATAACCAGTTTCATACTGGATTCGTACAAACTCATTGACTCTCCTTGTGACCCCTGACTCCGTTGAACAGATGACAGAGGCTGTTTACCCTGTGTGAGTTGTGCCAAAAACCCTCTCCCCCCTCCACAAAAAAAACCGCCGGGTTGACGGCCTTAACCAACAACGGCGTATTCACAGGCAGGATGAACTCAGAAAAAGTTTCCCGACGTTCAGAGCGAAATACCTCCCGCGGGGCCACCAACAGGTGGTATCATTCTAGCTGAAGTGTATCATCAAAACAAAAGTCTTTGGCCATGTCTCACTGGTTGCAGGTATTATATATGCAAATGTTGATGTGATATGTGTATACATAATATGCAAATGTTGATTTCTGTCACTTGAAATTCAACTAAGAATCTACAATTTGGGGCCCTCCAGGTACTAGTCGGGTTATCATACCCTCTGGTAAACTAACATAACTATGGAAAATCACCATCTTTAATAGGTAAATCAACTATTTCTATGGCCATTTTCAATAGCTTTTTGTATGTTTACCAGAGGGTAGCTATATTTAGCTATCTAGGGTCTGGGGGTCCCAAGCTTGTACCACTTTCTTAGTTTCATATCAAACATGCTGTGGATGTTTTCAAATTGCACCACCAAACGGATGGTTGAAACGGATGAAACCCATCCAAAATAATGAGATGTTTACCATCTATCAACTGGTGCAGAATTTCGCGTTGCCATCCACTACGTATCAAGTTCTTTTTCAAAAATCTTATGAAAAAAAATCCAAGGATTCCATTCTGTGATGTAAAATAGCCATTGGTTGTCTATCCCATTATAAAAACCACGATGTTATTCTATAATATACCATGGTCAAATTTAAAATTTGCTGTATTCATAATATCGTTCATGTTACATTCACTACTCCATGGATATTTGGAATCTTAGATAAAATACCATATCAACATATATAATCCGGGATACCATGTTAATTACATATATCCCATCCTACAGTTAGGGCCTTTTACCACTTATAAGTCAGTAAGT